TGAACAGGCTTAATGCAGTATTCCAAGTGTGGCCTTACCAAGGCATTATAAAGTGGTATTAACACTTCACCTGATCTTGATTCTATCTGTTTGTGGGCACCTAATGAATGAAGAAGGGGCACTTAACCTTCTTTGGAGCACCTACATCACGGGTGGAGAATCATGGTTCTTTTATGACTTCAACTCCCAGAATTCCTGAGCCAGCCATGGTTCCCCACCCCTGTTCTAAATCTATTGGAAAACTTTTATTAAGCCTGTTCAGAGGATAAAGGAAATTGTAGTCCAATGTGAATGGAAAATTTTAGAAGATCATTTGAATCTCTTCACATGTATCTGCCTATGCTTGGATAGGATATAGCCATTTTTTTTAGTTCTGTAGTATTAGTCCCCAGTTTATAGGTCAGGATCTAATTTGGGCCCTGACATTTTTCATCACCCAAGTTATGAAAGAATAAAAGTCACGTGGAGCAGATAGAAAATAGGGGGAAGAGGGAGGAATTAGATAAAAGAAAAAAAGCAGAGAAAAGAGATGTACAGTGCATACAATTTATACAGCACACTCATATCACTTCGGTATTTTCTGATTCCGTTTCAAGACACAGCTGAAAAAGGTAAGGGCTATTGTCTTCAACAGGAAAATAGAAAACAGAAATTGAAAATATTTGTCTCTTTGCCTCTTTCTTTTTTCTTAGAAACGGCTTGTCTTTTTCCAAGGTTTGAAGGGCAACTAAGAGGAAATCCACTGAAGCCTTCCTATCAGATTGGAGAGAAAATTCAGCTGTCATGCCCAAACAACATGCAGCTAGTAGGATCAGCTCTTCTTCTATGTGAACCTAGTCTGAAATGGTCTCCTGACTTTGCTGAAATCCATTGCAGAAAACAAGGTACGTGTCAGTTCTAAAAGGTTAAAAAATAGCATCAGTTTGGTAGATGCTACCATCATCATCATCTCTGCCTCCTAAGCTAGTTGGTATCTTCAGAGATGGTAGAGACACAAAAGTTGTTCTTAATCCAGTTGCTGGTCCAGCAAAGTGTTATATATGAAATCCCCTTTTTGTCTCTGATAGCAAAATGCCTTAAGTCAGCCCTGATCCAAGAACTGCTTGTCTTAAGATAAATTCTTAAATTTTAGTATTTGTACTTTATATTCCTGGTAATTTTGCATTGAGATCAATGAAGTTTAGATCAATGAATTTTTCTTTAAGGTCATGTGCACCCTCCATGAGTGCAATAATTGTATTCCTTTAAAGGATTGCTTCTAATGAGCCAATTTGCAGACTAAAGTTTTGTTTTAATCCCCATTCTCATCCAGTGATAGGAAGCTGGGTTTCAGAAGACTGAAAAGGGGCCGAAAAATATAACAGTTATTTTATACTAGCCGATAACTTGTATTTATTTATAGGGGGAAAATGTCCAGACCAAACATAATTTCTAAGGTTGGATTTTCCCCGTTACCAGAGGAAGCCCCCTTGTGGAGTACTATGAAGCTGTTACCATGGCAACTCCACTGCTCTGTACGGTAGAAACCAGTACGACACAACAGGCTGTATCTTAACAGAATACACACCCTGAGGGGTGTTAGGGGTGTCGTATCCCCCACAGTATTTTTCCCAGAGAGTAAGTCATCTGTGTACCAAGTTTGGTTGAAATTGCTCAAGGTGTTCCAGAGTTATGCTGGAACACACACACACAAACACACACAAACACACAAACAAACACACACACAAATATGTATAAAATGACAGCATAGCCTAAAATGCAAATATTAAAATGGGATAGTTGAATTACAGAGGATGGAGGCGCATAATTTTGTTTTAATCATGATTAAAGAGGAATAGTTTAAACCAGTGGTGTCAAACCTTGACAATTTTAAGAGCTGTAGTGGCACAGTGGTTAGAATGCAGTACTGCAGGCTACTTCTGCTGACTGCTGTTTGCTAGCAGTTTGGCAGTTCAAATTTCATCAGGCTCAAGGTTGACTCAGCCTTCCATCCTTCCGAGGTGGGTAAAATGAGGACCCAGATTGTTGGGGGCAATAGGCTGACTCTGTAAACCACTTAGAGAGGCCTCTAAAGCACTGTGAAGTGGTGTATAAGTCTAAGTGCCTTTGCTATTGCTATTGAACTCCCCAAATTCTCCATCCAGCCTGGGGAATTCTGGCAGTTAAAGTCTACATGTCTTAAAGTTGCCAAAATTGGACACCTGTGGTTTAAACCTTCCTATTACTGCATAGCCATTAAACAATTGCATCTAGAGAACATTTAATGAAGTGATTTCAAGAACAGTGGTTATTTAGTTGGACTCTCAATAGCCATAAAGCTGCACCAGTTCTTAAAGGTAAACCCTAATTTTGTCATTAAAGTATCAAATCCCTTATTCAAAATTGGCCCAGAGAAACTCCTGAGGCTGTGCTGGGAGAGTTTTCTTTGGCTTTCCTTTTTCTTCTAGTGTTGCTATACTTCTACTTTCATTTCAGTTGCCCCTCCAGTAACACATCCAACAGTGATTCAGTGCCAACCCTGGGAGAGAGTTTTTGAGACTCGGTGTGTGTGTAAGTTGCCAAACGAATGCAGGTGAGTGGATTTAACAGATTTGCCATTTCTGTTCAATTGAATTTCTAAATGTGTGAGTCCTGGGTGAATTAAAGAGCTTTTTTTTTGCAATCTGTTTTTTTTATTTTTAAACATTAAAAAAACAACATAAAAAAGGATCTCATCCATTACATACAGCATGTCGTTTGGTTACGTGTTTTTGCATCCATATTCTCAATTACATTTACAATCACAGATTTTTCATCTAATATAACTAAATACCTCACTTTCATTGTACAGTGTATATTCAATTACAATTTTTTTTTCAATAAACCTAATTCCCTTACATTTTTGATTGTCTGTTTAATAACAATATACCTTTATATAATCACATATCCCAATATGAAAAAGATTTACCAACCATTTATATTTGTATATCAGTGTTTTCAATTATGCATAATCGCACCAATCAATTATCGAGTATGCTTATGTTCATTATTGTCCTTGTACATCATACATTCAAACAAAGATGTCATTCCTTCATTTTTCAACAAGGTATTCTAAATAGTCACTTCATACATACATACATACATACATACATACATACATACATACATACATACACCAATTTTTAATTACTTCCTTATTAAAATTATTTATCAACAACAAGATATCTTTAATTAAAAAGCTTTTGAGAAACAATCTTTGAGCTACATTTACAAAAAATGAAGCTATCTTCATAGTTGGATAGAACCGCTTGAGCAGGAGTGGTATTCACTTACCTTCCCTATTGGTTCGAAAATGTGAGCATTCACTCATGTGCTCTCACTTCGCTCGCACAGGCCACCTCCACACATATGCATTCGGCATTCCACACATGTGCTTTGGCTTGAAAATGTGCCTAAATAGCAGGTATAGAGCCATGGTAGATGGGTCAATGGGTAGTGGACCCACCCACAATTTCCACTAACAGCTTGGGTGAACCAGTCCGAAATGGTTTGCCTGGAGGTTTGGTGGAGGAGTGGATGGCTTGGAGATGTTTAAATAAACTACACATTGGTTTGGCTAGAATTAAAGACCCCACAGTTTTTTCCTTGAGGACAAGGATATTTACTGTGAATGTGGCACTATTCAAGCAACTATCCATCTTTTGCAGTGCCCACAGGGACCAACATACAAACAGAATGACTTGCTGGTATATCCCTGCCATTAACATGGCCTGGCACTGTGCTAAAACTATATAAAGTTATGTTTTTTAAGACCTATTTTTAAAATACTTAAAAAAAAAATTAAATTAATAATTTCCACTTCTAGTTCCTGGATTTTTGACACAAGATGAGACGGGGTTGATTTGAGGAAGTTATTACCATCACCCTTCCTCTCCTACTAAAACAGTGAACGCGAAGAACTTATGGGAGAAGTGGGGTTTTAGGAGAAGCAGAGCTTCACCCACTGCCCTCATCTGGATCCAGGATACATCCTGGAAGGCAGTCCTGTTCTTAGACTGTTGACAGATTCCAGCCTCAGGCTACATTTAGGACTTGCCTTTGAATTCCACTGCAAAGTTGGAAAATATAGGACAAGAAGCAATGGGGGGGACTGGAAACGAATCAAGAAGAAAAACAACCTAGAACTAAGGAGAAATTTCCTGACATTTAGAACAATTAATCAGTGGAACAATTTGCCTCCAGAAGTTGAAAATGCTCCAACACTGGAAGTTTGTAAGAAGAGATTGGACAAACATTTGTCTGAAGTGGTATAGGGTTACCTGCCTAGGCAGGGGGTTGGACTAGAAGACCGCCAAGGTGCCACCCAACTCTGTTATTCTATTCTATTCTATTCTATTCTATTCTAGTCTAGTCTAGTCTAGTCTAGTCTAGTCTATTTCTATTTCTATTTCTATTTCTATTTCTATTTCTATTTCTATTTCTATTTCTATTTCTATTTCT